TCTAATGTTTGTTGTGAATCACCCAGAGTTCCCCCATTGGGGGGAGATGGGCGGTTGAAAAATTTAATAAATAAATAAATAATAATACTGCTATAACATGCCCACCTATTGTTCTTGCATAGTTAATTACTTAATATCATACTCTCTGAAACCAGCACAGTGCAGCCATCTTATTAGCTATTTTTTGCAGCACCTGTTTTCATAAATCTGCCAGTTTTCCATTAGTTGTCACTGAATGGGTACCATGTTGTAGAATAAGAACATGAGAAGTTACCTCGTCCATCTGATTCATTAGCAGCAACCCTCCATAATTTCAGATCAATTTTTTTTCCCACAGAGAGGCCAAGGATTAAATTTGGGACTTTCCGTATGCAAGAAAGAGATTCTCCTATTGAGGTTAGGTCCTTCCCTTCCTCTAGAATGGTGTTTCTCAACCTCAACAACTTTAAGATGTGGGGACTTCAGCTCCCAGAATTCCCACATTGGCTGGGGAATTCTGGGAGTTAAGTCCACACATCTTAAATTCGTTGAGGTTGAGAAACGCTGCTCTAGACATATGGGGAAATATTCAGTGGAGTATCACAGTGAAGTCTGGCAAATGGTCTATGCAGTGAGAATGGGGAGAAATTGATATAACTTTGCCAAAGTTTGGAATTCAAATTATTTCAGTTTTGTGTCAGTTAAATTTGATATCACGGACATTCTCTGAGAACTTCATATTTCTTCCTGGGACTGCATATTTTGTGTCTCAAAAAACCCTGAGAGTGTCAGAGAACAAGGCTGCTATTTGTAATAGGTCTGGTGACATATTATCTGGACATATGTCTCCCAAGATAGATAAGCCTAACCTTGAGAAATTGGTAAATTAGGCCTACCTGTTCTTTGTCAGACATTAAAGCTGGGCTCTACGCGGTACCTTCTGCTTGTGGTTAAAACCTTTGGAGCTGAACTCCAAGGAAACTATTCAAGCCCTAAAATAATGTTTGATACTAAACATGGACTGAAGAAATGCTGATGAAACATCAGTGCTCCTGCCCAGTTAAATGGTCCATCCTTTCTTTATTATGCTTTATTTGCTTTTTTAAATTGAAAGAAGTGCATAGAGAACAAAGAAAACAACAACAAAAAGCTTGGGTGTGTGAACATATATGTGATATTAAGGAGAATTTTATCTTTTTTTAACAAGGGAATGTTTTGTGAATAGCCAACCCCACAAGCTTATGAGAATTGTGTCTGTGGCCACTCTGGGGTCTACCTGTGTCCCCAGCCCCAAAAGAGTTCCCTGCTCTAGATAATAAGCAAGCAACTAAGATATTATTACCATGGATTTTTAATATATATACGATCAACCCTATTTCCTGAATCAGATCGCTTCAGATATGCCAAAATGGCTCAACACCAAAGATTGTTCCAAGAGAGCAGGAAAAGGAGAAAAAAAGTTGGAACCAGGGTTAATGTATGTTGTGCATATACCCTACTATATAGGGCTATGCAACACTTTGCAAATAATTTGGAGAAAGTGCTTTGGAACATCTGGGAATGCCAAGGTAGAATTGGTCTGCACTTTTTTTAAAGCAGCTGGGTCTTTTCCTATGATAATAGGAAACATCTGTCCTCCGCAACTTTAAAAGACAGGGAAAGGCTGGCTGCACACCAGGGGTGTCCATGGGGAGTGGTCAAAAAAGTCAAGATGGTGGCCGTGGTAGTACAATCAAAGCTCACATGCTACATACATACCCTTACTACAAACATAAGAAATATTCCAAGCACATTTCCCCCTGCAGCAATTTATTTAGGTTGATACTGGCTCTTTTGAATGCATGTTTCTTGAATGACTACAATCAACACTTTCTTTCTATACTTTGCATTTAATTTCTGAAAAATCAATTTCCAGGAATACTAGGAAGCATTGAAATAAATCTTAATGATTGCCTCTGGGAAATGTCTGTATGGTCAATTTATAAATCCAGTTTTTCTCCCAGGGATGTCTATTTAT